ACGCTTATATGCTTTAAACTGCATAGTTTTCGAGATATTGAAACTTTTATTTAAAAAGATTTGACGTAACGACAACCAAATTATGGCGTCATTACGGAATTGTTATGTGTGTTACTATGGTAACAGAGACAGTTTCCGCTCGAATAGACTGCCTAAGTCTGACGTCACAGAGATGGGCGGAGCTTATAACGACTCCAAACAATTTCGCTGCTAACCACAGTTGCTAACGATAAACCGCCAAAAAATGCCATTTAAAATGTCACGTTAAGTATATTTTATTTTAATACTAAATGAAAAATTGCATATATTATGGCAGTTTACCGTTAGCAATACAGTTAGCAACGAAAATGTTTGGAGTCAGTATAAGCTCCGCCTATCACTGTGACGTCAAGGCTTAGGTTGTCTATTTCGCTGCTAACGATAAATCGCCAAAAAATGTCATTTGAAATGTCATCACTTAGTTTATTTTATTTTAACACATATTTTGGTGTAGATTTTAAAATAAAATTGTGATGCTCTTTTAGTGGTTTAGAAGGGTAGCTTGAAAGTACAAATAGGGTCAAAACGTATCCTATTATGAGTTAAACATATTCCTCAAATTTCATTTTCCTAGCGTTTATGGTTTATGAGAAAAAAAAATTAAACCAAAATTTTCCGCCATTTTTGGAGGGGTGTAGCTCCTTAGGGGAGCCGAAGTCCCCCATGGTTCATATATCAAAGTACCTTTAAAATTCACTAAAGAATCACCCTTTGAAGTTTGTTGCAATCATTCAGATACATCCTGTACAAAGAAGAGTTTCCCTTTAAAAGTGTCCAATTTGGCTCACCCTGTACAACATGTACCGTAACATATTCAACCTATCCAAGGAAAATGTTATTTACATATACATTAAAGCTCATTAACGCATTTTCACTGGAAATGGCATGAAATAGATCAGAATGATATTTTTGAAGTTGAAGACAGATAATAAAGTTTTACTATCAAGTATAAATAGTACTAACCATCGCAATATATCATGTAAAATTTCATATTCAACATAAAATCACATCAAAGTGTGAAAACATTATCTAATTTTACAATAAGAAGCTGCAATTTCACTACTCGATTAAAAAAAAAACACAGTTAGAATAAAAGTTAAAAATTTAGTCGAAAATTGCTGAAAATATACATGTACGTAATTTTTACTGTATTTTTTACAACATCCTATACGAAATTTTACTAGCATTTTTATCAATGTATAATGACAACTATTCATTTTTATTGATCAACAACATAACAATACAATCAGCGCACACTTTAAGTCGGTGTCATCTCATGGCAGAAGAAAATCTAAAACTATATCGTCGATATACAGTAACTAATCGATTTGCAAGAAGAAATTTTCCTTACCTATCGCAGAAATTCAATTTCTAGGCTGATTGCCCTACAAAGATTTAACTTCCATTGTCACCATTTAATAATTAAATATGTTACTATTTTCCCGTTTGACATGATGCAACTACAATATTCTGAAAATAATGGTTTTGGGCAAATTAATTTTTTCAAATAATAGTTATTTGTATTATAAGTAAAGAAAGTATACTTTTTTCTTTACGAATCGCGAATTTAAACGCGATGACGAAAGAAGAAGTTACTTTTCTTTAAGAATAATGCATGAAGTTTTTTCGGACATCAATTTAAATGAATTACCTACATTTTATAAGAAATTATTTAAAAAGTACACGACGAGCTCGAGAATCAAATTGTCGTTTCTGCCGTTTCCCTCACTACAGCAACCAAACAAAAAAAATAAAGTAGTGATTCATCAGGAGGTGTTATCAAAATCGTCACTAACATGTGGTGATTTACAGTTACAACAGTGTACGTCATCAAGTATAAGCTTCTCTAACCTTAATAATTGTACGTTTAATATTTATTAGCATTAACTATTATATCAGGATCAGTGTAGGTGGACTCATTACACATCATTTTTCCAGGAAGTCGAGAGGTCGTTGTTTTCTGTCATATACAGTATGTCCCCGGATCGAGTTACAAAAAGGAAAAAAAATTTTATTACTGATTTTTCAAACTGAGATCAGCATAAATAATGCCTCAGATATGTTAAAACCACTAAATCACACAAATTTTATACTCTAACTATAGAAGTTATTATTATTATTCCCACTTTTATGTAAAAATTGGACTTTTTTCTAAATTGAAAATTGTTCAAGTTCAATTTATGATATGTAACCATAGAAACCATAAAGAAGCAAAAAAAGAGATTAAATAAGGAAGACTCCAAAATTATCACTTCGAAGCAGTGCGTTACAAATCGAAATTAGTAAATCGCACCTCTCCAGAATTTACAAAGAAAATAAAATTAAACCATTATTAGACCACGATTTAGACAGACTTTGCATGCCAGGGATGATGCCAAACGTTTGGATTTCTGTCTTGAGATTGGTAATGAAATATTAAATAACCGAAATTTTCATAAATTGATTGTATTTTCGGATGAAAGGACCTTTTCAACAAATGGCATTGCTTCTTCCCAGCATTGTCGTTATTGGAGTGATGTAAATCCAAATTTTACACTCTCTAGACGTAGTCAACATTTCAAAAAAGTAAATGTGTGGTGGCCATATTTCTTCGATGGAAATGTAAATCTACAGAAATATTTGGATATGTTACAAAATTATTTTAATGAACAACTTGATGAATTACACTTAAATTTTATACGGTCAATGTATTTTCATCAAGACGGTTGCCCAGCTCACCATTCACACATTGTGACCGAATGGTTAAATTTACAATTTCGTCAAAAATGGTCCTATTTTATGGCCAGCACGTAGGCCTGATTTTACAATTATGGATTTTTATTTCTGGGGCCGATTGAAACAAATTGTTTACAGTGAACCATTACAAGAAGATGCAGAACTATTAAAACTAAGAATAATTAATGCGATAGAATCTCTACCACTGGCGAAAATTCGTAATTCTTATAAAGAATTTAGAACTCGTCTTCAAATGTGTGCCGAATTAGGAGGTGATTTATTTGAATGAATAGTTGATTTGTTCACTTACAAATTAATAAAATTTTTTACTTACGTAGTGTGTTATTCCATAAATTTACATTTAAAATACTATTTTATTCAATTATTTAGCCATATTTTAATTTGATTTGTCCGTATATTTTTTACTAACATTAGTTGTAGAGTATACAAATCGTGCGATTTAGTGGTTTGAAAAATCAGTAATAATTTTGTTTTTCTCTTTGTAACTCTATCCGGGGACATACTGTAGAACTCCAAAAGTTATAGGGATCAGAACTAAGTGATTATTCAGCACTAATAGTAAAGGAAGAATACGCATAAGATTTTCTATTTAGTCAAACACCTCAGTCTTTTATATTGCGCTGAATACAAAACACTATTGTTTTTTCTGCGTTTCTTCCTACAATAGTCGTTCAGCTTTAATAGCCGCTTAATTTCTGGGGTGTACCAAATAGGGCATGAGGATCCACGACTCAATCTCTTAGGAACAAATAAATCCAAAATCTCATACAAGTTTGTATAGAATGCATCATTCGCATTAACCTGAACATTTAGACCAATCCGTATAAAGTAAATTCAATCAACAAATAAGTTCATCATACAAGACAGGAAAGTTGGCTCTTCGAAAATTATAGCGAACACCGAAAGACTAAAAGTTCAGGAAACCATCATTTGCCGTCAATAAATTCATTGTAATATCTAAGGCGAGAGACTGATCCTCGTAGACGAGGGGACAATCATCATGAACAAGATCAAACAGATGATCAGTATTTGTCAGAACTAAATCCAGTAGACGATTGTCAAAGTTTAATACTTGATTGAGTTGACGGAGGTCCAGAAAGTCACAAAAATTACCAAGTAACTCCGTTTTTCCACATTTCATTGGTATGTCAGTCCCTTAATATATTCAGGAAAATTAAAATCACCAAGGATAAGGACAGGATAATACAAAACTTTATGGTCTAACGCGTTCAAGAAACATAGCAAATCAGGTTGCGAATTATCAGGAGGTATGTACAACACTACGATATATAAAGTCACTGATCATAAAGAGCACTTGCATATCAATACATCCACAAGTAGTACCTACTAAAGACTCAATATCTGTAAAATCAACCACTTCTATATCATGATGACTACCTACAATAAGCAGAACTCCTCCACCTCTGTTTTGTCGAACCAACTCAAACTTACGATCAACTCGTACGACGCTGTATTTATCCACGAATAATTTATTAGATCCACGATCCGAATTTAAATTAGTTTCCAATAGAGCAATCAAATCATAGGAACAATTAGAACAATTAATATAATTTCGCGCGTTTTTGTACGAAGACCATTAACATTTTAATAATATACATTAACCGATTGATACATTTTGTTGGGCAAAATCAGTTTTCCGAAGCCTTGACAATTGAGGGAATGCCACGGATGTACTCTAGTACCAAATCCTTTTCGCCAAACTCAGTTCTTGTTTTTGATTCAGTCCTCGCCCTCCTATAAAGATCAACCTGGAAAGGAGTACGATCATTCGAGACAGAGATGTTCTTAAATTTATTATGGGATTAAATTATTCGGGACAAAACCAAAATCTTAATATAGTCAAGAGATGCCGAGATGATAGGTAACTAAAATAAGATCAAACGTGTGGATATCTTTTGCTATCTGGTAATAAATCTTACTAGTGATCGAAAACAAGATTCAGTAATAAAAAGGTCATGGTCATGCTAAGGGAGCCTCTTTTGCATTGCTGCAAATAAATATACTAGAGTATGTAATAATGATGGGTTATGAAAAGTAAATAGAATGCAAAGAAAAGTTTAGTGGCAAAGCCAAAGAAAAACCGGAAGGAGGCAATAGATGCAGACGCCAAACTGTTAAAGCAAGTGAGAAACTGGAAAAAGATAGCAACAAAGAAGAACGAGTGGAGGCGGATGAAGTTGAGTATAGTAATTAAAAGTTATTTTTGTTAAACAGTTTATATTATAAAAATCCATGAAAAATGTTAATTCAAAAACATCAAAAAAAAAATGTTTACAATACATTAATCCTTAAAGATAAGCTCCCCATCCTATATACATTTGACAAAGGTTGTCCACATTCATCGCTTCTTGAATAATAGTATTCGATTGGCCTTCAACTGATAAAGGAATCGACATTGTGTTTCCTCTCCCACGAACGATTCCTTCTAATCTTAATTCTATATTTTTTACACTACGCACAGCCTTTAAAATAAAATAAAATGTATTGATCATCAAATAAATCAATATATAACTTTATTTACCTCTTTATTAGTTTGTTCTGAAGTTCCAGCCAAAGGAACGTTCCTCGAAGACCAAGAAACCGACGGATCATAAACGAACGGAGTTACAATCGACATTAAAGTCTCTTTATTTTCGCGTAATACCTTTAAGGTGCACTCACAAGATTTCCTAAAAATTCCTTCGATTCCTAAAGGACCCATCGCGGATACCATGTTGTGTGTTAATCGAAAAGGAACTCTTTCCGGCCATTCTAAAGTTTCGCCTTTATTAAAAAGACAATTAAAATCAACGTGGACGACGTCTCCACAAGATGAATCTAACAGGACGTTTTCTCCGTGGCGATCACCCAAACCCAAAACATAACCAATCATTGACATGACAGATGTTGTTCTTATATAAGCTGTTCTAGAAGTTAACCAATTCTAAGAAATTAAATTAATTTATTAAAAATAAATATATACAGTGTGTTAATTAATTATCGTACCCGACGTCATCATTGCAAGTATGTAACCAATACCANGTTGGTTAATAACCAAACTGAACTTCGTCCAGAAAATAAGTCTATTTTCTAAGAGTGTATTATTGTTTTCTTTCCTTTTTTTGCGACTTATTAATAAAGGCATTGTTATTATTATTATTATTAAATAACTCCGTTTTTCCACATTTGATTGATATGCCAGTCCCTTAATATATGCAGGAAAATTAAAATCACCAAGGATAAGGACAGGATAATACAAAACTTTATGGTCTAACGCGTTCAAGAAACATAGCAAATCAGGATGCGAATTATCAGGAGATATGTACAACACTACGATATATAAAGTTACTGACCATAAAGAGCACTTGCATATCAATACATCCACAAGTAGTACCTACTAAAGACTCAATATCTGTAGAATCAACCACTTCTACATCATGATGACTACCTACAGTAAGCAGAACTCCTCCATCTCTGTTTTGTCGAACCAAATCAAACTTACGATCAGCTCGTACGATGCTATACTTTTATTCGCGAATAATTCATTAGATTCAAGATCCGAATTTAAATTAGTTTCCGATAGAGCAATCAAATCATCGGTACAATCAGAACAATTAACATGATTTCGCGCGTTTTTGTAACAGATTGATACATTTTGTTGGGCAAAATCAGTTTTCCGAAGCCTTGACAATTGAGGGCATGCCACGGATGTACTCTAGTACCAAACCCTTTTCTCCAGACTCAGTTCTTGTTTTTAATTCAGTCTTCGCCTTCCTATAAAGATCAAGCTGGAAAGAAGTACGATCGTGCGAGACAGAGATGTTCTTAAATTTAGTATGGGATTAAATTATTCGGTACAAAACCAAAATCTTAATATAGTCAAGAGATGCCGAGATGATAGGTAACTAAAATAAGATCAAACGTGTGGATATCTTTTGCTATCTGGTAATAAATCTTACTAGTGATCGAAAACAAGATTCAGTAATAAAAAGGTCATGGTCATGCTAAGGGAGCCTCTTTTGCATTGCTGCAAATAAATATACTAGAGTATGTAATAATGATGGGTTATGAAAAGTAAATAGAATGCAAAGAAAAGTTTAGTGGCAAAGCCAAAGAAAAACCGGAAGGAGGCAATAGATGCAGACGCCAAACTGTTAAAGCAAGTGAGAAACTGAAAAAAGATAGCAGCAAAGAAGGACGAGTTGAGGCGGAGGAAGTTTAGTATAGTAATTAAAAGTTATTTTTGTTAAACAGTTTATATTATAAAAATCCATGAAAAATGTTAATTCAAAAACATCAAAAAAAAAATGTTTACAATACATTAATCCTTAAAGATAAGCTCCCCATCCTATATACATTTGACAAAGGTTGTCCACATTCATCGCTTCTTGAATAATAGTATTCGATTGGCCTTCAACTGATAAAGGAATCGACATTGTGTTTCCTCTCCCACGAACGATTCCTTCTAATCTTAATTCTATATTTTTTACACTACGCACAGCCTTTAAAATAAAATGAAATGATCATCAAATAAATCAATATATAACTTTATTTACCTCTTTATTAGTTTGTTCTGAAGTTCCAGCCAAAGGAACGTTCCTCGAAGACCAAGAAACCGACGGATCATAAACAAACGGAGTTACAATCGACATTAAAGTCTCTTTATTTTCGCGTAATACCTTTAAGGTGCACTCACAAGATTTCCTAAAAATTCCTTCGATTCCTAAAGGACCCATCGCGGATACCATGTTGTGTGTTAATCGAAAAGGAACTCTTTCCGGCCATTCTAAAGTTTCGCCTTTATTAAAAAGACAATTAAAATCAACGTGGACGACGTCCCCACAAGATGAATCTAAGAGGACGTTTTCGCCGTGGCGATCACCCAAACCCAAAACATAACCAATCATTGACATGACAGATGTTGTTCTTATATAGGCTGTTCTAGAAGTTAACCAATTCTAAGAAATTAAATTAATTTATTAAAAATAAATATATACAGTGTGTTAATTAATTATCGTACCCGACGTCATCATTGCAAGTATGTAACCAATACCATGGTAATGGCACAGAATAACCAGAAGTGGCGGGATACTGCCACATCTGATGCCATATTATAACGAGTTACCAAGGTATGTTGTGTTGCTATACCGCTAGTGTCACTTCTGGTTATTCTGTGCCTAGGTCTGTTGAACACAATAATATGTTATATGATATAACTAATACTATATATTGTATTGAGTTCCATATAACTTACGATAACATGGCGCAGTCATAAAGGAAAATTTGAAGAACACAACGCGAAACGAGGTACGACGTTTTGAGGTTAAGAAAAAAAAACCCCGACCCACGAGGAAAAGTACGGGAAAAACGTTATAAAAACATGAAATATTTGAAGCAGCTATGGAATGAAAGAGATTCAAGGAAAATTTCGAACTGTATGGAGTAGCAACAGGTTGTTCTATGAAAGATGAAAAAGTGTAGGCAGCAACGTTACTTACACTGCCTGGGAAAGGAAACTCGAGATATATTAGATACATTGGGACTTCACAAAAGAAGAAAAACAAACAACAAGACGAATAATTCAAAAATTAGATGCATATTTTATACCGAAGAAAAACAAAACGGTAGAGGGACACAAGTTCAATACACGAGGACAGCAAAATGGTGAAAACTTTGACCAATACCTAGGAGAGCTACGAAAGCTAGCACAGTACTGTGAGTTTGCCGGGATGAAGGATAACTTGATTATGGATCGAATCATTTGCGGTATAACCACCTTAGAGGCAAACTGCTCAGGGAAAGCGGTCTGGACCTAACGAAAGCAATAGCCATCTGTAAAGCAGCGGAGCAAACAGAAGAACACATGAAACAGCTATATCAAAGGGGCCAAGAGGTTAATGTCGTAGAAATGAGACATCAAGCTAATCATCAACAACGGGAGATGAAAGCTGAAAAACATCACACTCCACATCAAGCACATAGGGTAAATAAGGTAATAACTAATTGTAGATAACAGATTAACAATTTTAGAGATGCGTTTTGGAAAAACATTACTCTTGTGGACTGTAATAAAACGTTAAAAACAAAAATAGATACTCTGTTATCACAACTCAGGTGTTTAAAGTTCTTTTGCAGTCATTAACCAGAGCCGACATCGTTTTCACGCCCTGTAGCGCCTGAAGAGCGGCTTGATTGTCTGAGAAAAATCGTACTGTCATATTCCTCATTCCTCTCTCAAGAAGGATTTTAGCACCCATGTCAATAGCAAGTACCCAGGCTGTAAGCTTGCTTAATCCGAAGTGTCTGTCAGTATACTCTCTTTTTTTTACTACTATGTGAGCGCCTATCGGTCTTCATGTGATGGAATCTTCTATTCTTCGGCCGGGAGTGTTCCAGCCCCTGAACTACTCACTAAAAACCTCCCTCTTCCTTCTCTGAAACCAGCAAGAAGGTATTACATCGGAGAATAATATAATATAACATATTTATATTATATCTACATCTTCCTCTCTTCTCTCTAGAATTGGTATCCTCCCTGCTTTTCCTCCTCCCGCACCGTCGTCTATTCCAGCAGATCTCGCTCGTGCATCTCCTTCTACGACTATCGTCCACTTCTCTTCTTCTTTGTCCAACATCAGGGCGATCATAGTTTCTTTGCTGAAAGTTGTCCCGCATCTAGATTTACATTTGAGTTGTTCTGCTGTAAATCTTCGGCACGAGAACAGAGTGTGTTCCGCGGTATCTGTCTCTTCGCAAAACCAGCATTCTTCTGTCTCGGTCTTTTTTATCTTTTGTAGGTATTTTTTGAAAACCCCATGTCTTGTGAAGGCTTGCGTGAGGTAGTAATTTATCTCTCCCCACTCTCTCGTTATCCAAGGTTCTATCTGTGGAATCAGGGTCTTTGTCCAGCTGTCGCTCTTTGACCACTTTGTCTGCCAGGCCTCAATCATCCGGTCTCTACTTTCTGCCTTACTTTCTCTTCCGCTTGCGTGTAGTTCATTTCTGGCTTGTACTAATAAATCTAATAGGGCCTGTCCTCGAGTTGTATGACGTCCCTTCTCTTCACTACGAGAGCGAGATCGCCGGCGTACGTTATTAGTTCGTCACCTGGATCTTGTTCTATTCTTAGAACTCTGTCATAGTACAGGTTTCATAACAGTGGGAATAGGAGAGATCCCTGAGGCACTCCGCAACAGACTCTGTATGTTTTACCGTCATTTTGCCATATGGACTAAAGACGGACTCACTTTTTCCTTCATCAACATCTTCTGCCACGAAGGCAAGTTGAAGGCATTCTCGATGTCTATAAGTATTAACGCGCATACATCTAGAGACTTTTTTTTTTGATTTGGTCCACTATTGTTTGGACTTTCTGTACTGCTTGGACCGTTAATTTGCCCTTTCGATTGCTTCTTTTTGTAATCATTCTTTTAGTAGACTTTCTAACAGCTTTCCCGTAGTATCCAGGACACAGATTGGTCTATAAGCCGTGGTTCGTCCGGCTTTCTTGGGTTTCTCTATAAGCACTAGCGTAGAGTTTTTCCAGATTTTTGAGTATGTTCCGCTGGACATACATCAAATGTAGATTTCTAGAAAGTCGTCCAGATATTTAGATACAAACGCAGCATCTTCTTCTTCATTCTAGATACAGCTGCCAGCAGCTCATCTTTACTAAAAACCTCTATCTCTGTCGATCTTGCACCGGGTTANGCTCATCTTTACTAAAAGCCTCTATCTCTGTTGATCTTGCACCGGGTTATCATTTGAAGCAATCTTGTTTCGGGAATAGTTTTTCAATTTGACCTTCGACATTTCATTAGCTATACTCGTTCTATTTCTGATCTTTAGCCGTGTGATGATAATCTAGTAAGTTCTATCCCATACATCGTCTTCTAATTCTTCACACTTTTTCCACTTGTTCCTTCCAGTTTTCTTTTTTGCTAGGTTCTATCAATTTCTTTAACTCTTTTCTTGCCTTTCTATGCCGAAATCTTAAATTTTCTTCATCTCTTGAGTTCCTTCCGGCGTTTTCGATTTGAACTACTGCAACAACCTCACTTTTTTTAGTAGAGTTGTAAAAGGTTATTATTTATTGTCTCCAGATTCAGGATCAATGGCATTATCTGAATGTAGTGATGAAACAAGAATAACATTTTTGCCTTTGCGCAAAATGTATGAAGTCAAAACCTTGCCTTTATTGCACCACATCACTCGGTTTATTACTGGTATAAAAAGGTCCTGTTGGTTGTTTCCCTGCATAGATTTAGACATCATATGTACAGTTCTGTTCAGATATAATGCGAAAAGCGCCGCTCGTATAGGCATAAAATTGTACTAGAAACGACCTACGTTCACGAGGCATTCAATCCAGCTTTTACCTGCTCTGTAGTGTTGTAAAAGTTCCGAACAGGCAAGCGGGGTGATGTGAATCACAAAGAAAAATTAAGAAAATAAATAAGTATAATCAATGACTTCAATCAGTGACTTTACACAATTCCTGTAGTAAATGAAAATAATTACTAATAATTACTGTGGTGTAGGCTATGCAGGGAGGAATGGGAAACGTTGGAACATATGTTGAATGGGTGCAGTGAGTTGAGGGAGGAGCAGTTGGACCGAGGGCAGATCTTAGGAAAGGGGGGAGAGGGGAAACGATGGATGAGAATAGTTGTGGGGGTGAGGAAACAAAGGGATGGATGAGGGGAGGATTGGGCCGAGGAGCCGAGGGTATGGAAATGGAGGAAGAGGGTGGAGGGTGAAAATAATATACTAATGACATATATTATATTAGGATGTATTAAGGGGAAAATTGTAATTATCAAAAACAATAAATGCTTATTAATTATTATTACTAATAATTACTGTATTACTTTGGTAATACAGTGGAACGAAAAGTCGAACCTCATAAGAAATGAAAATTATATATTGATAGTAAGTTATACAGGTGTCCGGTATTTTCCGCATCAGAGCATTATACGGTTGTAGGATACATTATTCTGAAGCGATCTTTCTAATAAAATTTTTTCGAAATGTTTATAATAACCGCACGAGAACTGTTTCCGATCCACGTTGTGAATCGGAAAGTTGGCATTTTTATTGAACTGTTTTTCCACCAAAGCCCATAGATTTTCGATTGGGTTAAGATTAGGTGACCGCGCTGGCCAAGGTATTCGCCTAACCTCATTATGATCGTCAAACCAATCATGAACAATTCTTGAAGAATGCACGGGTGAATTGTCTTGGACAATCGTGATGATCCCTTCTGGATACAAGGTTCTTACTGATGGTATGAATACATCCTCCAGCACTCGAATGTATTCAATCGAATTAAATCCTTGATAATTGTGGACGGTGTAAATGGATTGGCGGTGACGTATTCAGCAATTTTCCTTCGGTAAGCATTATTAAGAATAAGTCTTCGGCCTGATCTAGATGTTGTAAGGCCAACTTTGCCGTTTTCTTCAAATCTTACTGATAAGCCTACACGTTCGGCAATTTCCCGTTTATCTATTCCTTCTTGATGAAGTGCAATAATTGCTCGCCTCGTAGTCAAATCTGACTCTCGTTCACCAGGAACACGAGGCATGTTGTATTTAGGAACACGGACAAATTTGAAAGCACGTAATTTTGATATTGAATAATTCTATTTAAAATTTGAAGGAGAGTTTCATAAAGTTTTATTTATAAGTTTTATATTATATTACTGAGATTTTTATATGACGTTTTATTTATAGAAATACTCTAAAATCATTTATTAAAGGAACGTATAAAAAATCGTGTATTTGTTGTTCTTAAAAATATCAAAAAAGATTTAAAATAAAATAAAATTAACACATTTAAAAAAAGGGTGATCCATTCTTCGGCCCACTTCAAACTGGGACGGTTTTACCTGTGTTAAGGAAGAGGATAACTTCCTTTAGTCTGAGAAATCGAATTGAAGAGAAACAAAAGATGTCTCAACAGCGGACGATTCGCATTAAATCTGAACAGAGCTGTACATATATGCCATTTTCGAATCTACCAAAGCAAGGATTTTTATGCCATATTTTGATGGTTTAGACGGAATTTCATCTATAGTCACGTTTTCCTCTATAGCATAATTTTTCTGATAACTTTTCAATTATCCTGGACATGAAAAAAACATCTTGATTAGTCACACTAGAGATAAACGGCCCAGCAGTATCAATGTAGTCCAAATAGATAGCGATGATGAGGACATTTTCGGAATCTTTTAATGTAGATGATATTTTTGTCGTTAATGTTACAATGAAACGAGTGGAACTTTTAATTGGACCGTGTTATACATCACTTGACTAAGCGACATTTTATCGTTTTTAGAAATTTTCATGCTGTCTGGTAGCTAAAGGTGTAACTTGTCTTAGAAAAATGCAGAATACCGACAGACCTAAAACACTAGTTTTACACTTGCACTGTCACTAGAACTAACATTAGACCTAGAATTAGAAACATTTGGGTTTAGCCGCACGTCTCTAAAGACGGCTAAACCCGAATGATTCTAGTTCTAGGTATAGTGTTAGTTCTAGTTCTATATAGTAACAGTGCTAGTGTAAAACTAGAACTAACACTATACCTAGAACTAGAATCACCGCACGTCTCTAAAGACGGCTAAACCTGAATAATTCTCCTTCTGGGTCTAGCGCTGCATAACAATTAAAACTAGAACTAACACTAGACCTAGAACTAGAAAAATTCGGATTTAGCACGAAACTTTCTAGTTCTCGGTCTAGTGTTAGTTCTAGTTTTATACTTGCACTGTCATTAGAACTAACATTAGACTTAGAACTAGAAACATTTGGGTTTAGCCGTAATGTTAGTTCTAGTGACAGTGCAAATGTAAAACTAGAACTTACACTATACCTAGAACTAGAATCACTTGGGTTTAGCCGTACGTCTCTTAAGACGGCTAAACCCGAATGATTGTAGTTCTAGGTATAGTGTTAGTTTCTACATAGTAACAGTGCTAGTGTAAAACTAGAACTAACACTATCATAATTCTACTTCTTGGTCTAGCGCTGCATAACAATTAAAACTAGAACTAACACGTAGACCGTGCGTCGTCACGGCTAAACCCGAAACTTTCTAGTTCTAGGGTTAGTTCTAGTTTTACACCAACACTATCACTAAAACTATTCCTAGAACTAGAATCATTTTGGTTTAGCCGCACGTCTCTAAAGACGGCTAAACCCGAATGATTCTAGTTCTAGGTATAGTGTTAGTTCTGTTCTAGTTTTACACTTGCACTGTCACTAGAATCAACATTAGACCTAGAATTAGAAACATTTTGGTTTAGCCGTACGTCTCTTAAGATGGCTAAACCCGAATAATTCTAGTTCTTGGTCTAGCGGTGCAAAACAATTAAAACTAGACCTAGAACATTCTTGGTCGAATCAACGTGTCATTTCTGGTTATTCTGTGGTGTTGGTATTTAATAGGCGATGTTGGTTGCATAGTTGCAATGATGACGTCGGGTACGATAATTAATTAACACACTGTATATTAAGGTATATGTAGTAATTACTTGTACATCAGGAAAAGTTTTTCGAAACCATTCTCCTAAAACTGGTGGATGATTTGGAAGTAATTTATTTAAAAAAACCTCTCTTTTTTTAGCTAAAGGATCCGAGATTTTACAACAAGTTTTTTTTAATTCATACCCCGTCATATAAGTTCCTTTTTGCTTATAAATAGCACACAAAACCACTCTTAACCCAACTAAATCATGAATCCACTCGATCAAACCGCATTCCTCATTTAGCGGAGAAACCGAATAAAGTCTTATATTAAGTCTTCTGTGTCGCGATTCGGGATCTCTCGATAATAATTGATTAACGATGTCATTAAATTCCATGAAACGAAAATCTTTTCGTAAATCATCTTTCGGTTTTAACATTTGAACGTATCTTTTTCCATCGGATCCGCGAAAAACGATTTTTCTCGGCCGCTGCATACTGTTTAAGATTACAATCTCATCTTCGATACCGACTATGTGGGCGTAATAATTCGGAAATGGATTATGTCGGTGGCTATTTAAATCGGGATTGGGTAAAACGAGTTTTCGAAATTTTTGCGTTGGGATCATGATTTCACTAAAATCTTCGCGGGCTAATAATCTAGGTAACGATCTTAACAACACATTAATACTCGCGGTTTTTGCATTTTCCGCGATTTCTTTGTTACATAATTCGATTAATTTTTCCGCTAACTTGGTAAAATCGGTTATTAATTTTTTAATGCTCGCATTCGACAAGCGGGAATCCCCCAAAATTTCCGCGCAACGTTTAGATCGAGCCGCATCGCTCGATTTAATACTTGGCATCATCATCCAAAGGGTTTGTTGGGGATATTGCAATATTAATTTAATTATGATGCTTTTTAATTCGATGTAAACTTCTCTTTGTGGGTGACAAATCCTTGAAATTAATTGCGAAAAAGCCGTTAAGAACATATAAGATGGTAAACGTTCTAATGCCGTATCGATTAATTTGGTCATTCTTAAAAGGTTTTGTTTACGATCTTCGCGCAAATCAATAGTTTTTAGATCGAAAAGTCTCGTTCCGTAATCGAACCAAATACTAAGCATCCGAGACATTGATTGGTGTATAAAGTTAGTTCCGTATAGCATTGATTTGCTGTAACAATTAATCATGTGGATTTGAATATCGCTTGCGCGATCATCTTTAACTTCATCGCTAAATGAGTGATAAATTTTGTCGTAATATTGAGCTAAACACACATAGCTTTGTTCGCGTTCTTTATTTAATTCCAAAGCTTCTTTGTAATGGCTTATATTTATTTCGCGATCGACGTTTGATATTTTATCGTTATACTCGGCTATTAATAATTTAGCTTCGGCGCAAATTTTTAGTTTGTTTTTGTCATCGTTTAGAGGCATCATTTTATCAATTCCTCTTCTTAAAGTATTCAAAGCGTGTTCGTGTTCTTTTTTTAACCAATACAACTCGGCTTTTTCGATAAATAATCTTTCGGGGGCGAATTCTTCCGCTTTTAACAAATAGGTATAAGCTTGTTGATAAATTCCCGCATTTCGCGCAACTCGCGCACTTCTTAACCAACTTTCCCCAAGAATCCCATCAATTAGCATCGACGCTTTAGGGATTTTCTCTTTAATTAATTCTTTGGCTTGATTTAAAGCCACCCTTCTTAAACACAAAATTGGTTCAATGATTTTAATCGATTCTTGAACCACTTTTAATCGCAATTCTAAATCTGTTGATGTTTTCGAAATAATTCTTTCAACGAATTGATGATCGTTTGGTTTCACTAAAAGCGAATAAATCATTTTTTCCATCACTTCTAATTCGTTTAATGCGTGAAGATTAACGATTGAGGTGTAACCTTGTTGATAAGCACCCTCTTCTAAGCTGGTTGCCCCTAATAAATCAACTTGGTGTAATCGGAGATTACTTAAAATTTCTTTAAAACCTCCTCGATCGCTTTTCGACATTTTTAATAAAACTTTTCCGATGTTAACACCCCAACTTTCGTTTATTTCTAATTCGGGCTTTTTAACTAACTCATCTAAATCATCCCACCGATTTAATCGCCATAACGGCTCGGCTTGTAATTCGAGAAATTTGTATGAATATTCCGGTTGAGATTCCATTGCGCCTTTAACGAAGTTCAAAGCGGTTGTTACGTTATCTAAGCGAAGATAACATTGAGTTAAACCCTAAAAAATGTAAAATATGCAAAAAGGAAATAAATTTGTATTAATTTTAACCTTTAATTGATAAAATTTATAGGGAAAAGGAATTCTTTCATAACAAGCAGCCGCGTCGGAAAGTTTCCCAGAAACTTCTAAATCTAAGATTCTTTCCTCCAAAGTCGGTTCGGTATGTCTTAAAGCGGCGACTCCATTAACAGCGTCCGGTTCGTTTAATTGCGCGTAAATATACGACAAAAACGAGTAATGATGTTGAAACTTGTCTTGATTTTTCGATATATAATCCTCCAAATAAATTAAAGCTCTCGAATACTCCCCAGTTTGAAAACTACAACGGGCTAATTCCAATTTACAAAAACCCGATATCCAAGACTAAAATAATAATCAATAAAATAAACAAAAAGTTACAAACACAATTTTATTAACCTTAATACATTGATAATTCTCATCATTTCTACTAGAAGCGCCATTTTGCCACTCAAACTCCCTAATCCATCGATCTAAAAAGTCTAATAGTACAAATATCACTTTGATACATCGATTTTGATTGATTTTTTGCGAAACGACCGTTGAAGATTTTGAGATGGACTCGATGGACATTCTTAATGGTCGGAGATTGGATAAATCGTCCGAGATGCGTTTGTGTTCGTTCATGGAGTTGATGACGGCAAAAAATTCTTCGTGCCATTTTTTTCTTATCTTTTGCTTGCCGTCTAATAAAGAATGAAGTAAAATATGGGGTAAAAAATGCATTTGTAATTTTTCGTCCTGCTTTATGCTGGGTAGGCAAACTTGTAAAAGTGGTCGTTTATCGGGATTTATTGTCATTATCATACTGACACTCCAACTAAAAATATAAATAAAATGATTAAAAAATAAATTAATACATTATTAGCACAACATTTAATAAATCAGCGAAGCCACCAAAATCAAATTTAAGAAAAAAAAAAAACAGAGAACCCAACCTGAACTCGCAAAACTCCTTCATTAAATTTAGCATGGAAACGTAAGCTGCAAAACACTTACCTTTATTGGATATTTTGATCACTACGAAAAAAAAATGAGATCACAGAAGAGGTCAGTGATCCAAGCCTTGTTTCAGCGATCAGAAAGGATATGTGACAAAATGAATATGAAGAAAGAAGAAACACAAATAGAGGGAAGACACCACAAATACTGGATCCTACTGTATCAGGATTTATCTGCCTTCTTTATGTTTCAGGTGGACACCGCGTTGCCAACCCTACCAATTTATCGGTAAATCTACCGATATATCACTTAATCTACCAATTTTCAAAATTTTAACAAAGTATTATGAAACACATTGTACTTCAAATCAATATAATTGCGACAAAAATTGTACTTTATGAGAATACCCTACTGATTGCACAAAAGTATATACCATTGATATGGCAATGTCGCTCGAGCAACGTTGGCAGATCGTTGGTATATACAGTACACGTCATAAGTAAACCCTCTGCCTAATTTGAAAATGGTTCAAAATATAATATTGTCAAAATAGATATTGATGCATCTAAGAACAAAAGTGCAAGAGAGCAATATTGTTAACAATAAAATGTGCTACAACTTTTGTGCTAAAAGATTTCTTTTAGTATGCTCCGATTCCCAAGTGTTACCTTTAATAATTTGAAAAAGCAACAAATTCATAAAATTTTCATGTTTTGGTATCTATCTCGATATTGACGTATCTAAGAGCAAAAGTGCAAGAGAGCAATATTTTTAACAATAAAATGTGCTACAATTTTTGTTATAAAAGTTTTGTTATAGCAAGCTCCGATTCTCAATTGTTACCTTTAATAACTTGAAAGAGCAACAAATTCATAAAATTTTCCTATTTTCGTATCTATCTCGATATAGACTTATCTAAGAGCAAAAGTGCAAGAGAGCAATATTGTTAACAATAAAATTTGCTACAATTTTTGATATAAAAGTTTTCTTATAGCAAGCTCCGATTCTCAAGTATTACCTTTAATAACTTGAAAAAGCAACAAATTCATCAAATTTTCATGTTTTTGTATCTATCTCGATATTGACGTATCTAAGAGCAAAAGTGCAAGAGAGCAATATTGTTAACAATAAA